TGTAAAGCATTAACAGTTTAAAAATAAGATGGTAGCTTTGATATAAATGCAGGTTAAAGATAGCTGAATTCATGTCCATGAGAAGTTATAACAGTACAACATGCTTAGGTTGGAATTTGGGGGTTATTTTTAGGTAGATGGCTTATAAGGAATTGGAAACCATATGGTTTAAAATTTGTATAAAAAGCTTATATCTTACTTTTGTTTTAAGACTCAAGAGGTAGGAATTTAACGTTTCTAGCATAAAACAATAGGCTGAAACATAGCAACAACTGTGAGGATGTTGCAGGACCAGGTAGCGTTTCATTCTGTTGTACAAAGGGTTGCAATGAGTCGGAACCGACTCGATGGCACCTAACAACAACAGGCTAACAGTATATAAAGTAGAAATTCCCCTGTAATTTTCAGATGGATCTTGCCTATGGCAGAGAACACTGATAGTTGTATCTTAGATAGTTGTATCACAGATAGTTGTATCTGTATTTTATTCACTATGCAAAGGTACTCGACTGTGTGGATCATAACAAATTATGGATAATACTGCAAAGAATGGGAATTCCAGAACACTTAATTGTGCTCATGAGGAACCTGTACATAGACCAAGCAGCAGTTGTTTAAACAGAAAGAACAACTTGTTTTAAAGTCAGGAAAGGTGTGCGTCAGGGTTCTATCCTTTCACCATACTTACTCAATTTGAATGCTGAGCAAATATCTGAGAAGCTGGGCTATATGAAGAAGAACGCAGCATCAGGATTGGATGAAGACTCATTAATAACCTGCAATATGCAGATGACACAATCTTGCTTGCAGAAAGTGAAGAGAACTTAAAGCACTTACTGATGAAAATCAAAGACTACAGCCTTCAGTATGGATTACACCTCAACATAAAGAAAACAAAAATCCTCATAACTGGACCAATAAGTAACATCATGATAAATGGAGGAAAGACTGAAGTTGTCAAGGATTTCATTTTACTTGGATCCACATCAATGCCTACGGAAGCAGCAATCAAGAAATCAAAAGATGCATCGCATTGGCCAAATCTGCTGCAAAAGACCTCTTTAAAGTGTCATAAAGCAAAGATGTCACTCTGAGGACTAAGGTGCACCTCACCCAAGCCATGGTATTTTCAATTGCCTCATACACACGCAAAAGCTGGACAATGAATAAGCAAGCCCCCAAAAAGAACTGATGCCTTTGAATTATGGTGTTGGCAAAGTATACTGAATATACCATGGACTGCCATGAACAAATATGTCTTGGAAGAAGTACTGGCAGAATGCTCCTTAGAAGCAAGGATGGCGAGACTTCGTCTTACGTACTTTGTATATGTTACCAGGAGGGACCAGTCCCTGGAGAAGGACATCCTTGGTAAAGTAGAGGGTCAGGGAAAAAGAGGAAGACCCTCAATGAGATGGACTGACACAGTGGCTGCAATGATGGGTTCAAGAATAGCAACAATTGTGACGATGGTGCAGGACCATGCAGTATTTTGTTCTTTTGTACACAGGGTCACTATGAGTTGGTACCGACTCGACAGCACCTAACAACAACGATGACAATGACAATTTTCCTTCTTGTCTTAAGCTTCAACTTCTCTTGAACATCACTTCAACTATTTTTACTTCCTGGTCCCATCAGTGTAACTTTTTTTGTTACTGGCATTAAAAGATAATTTCTTTTTTTTTTTTTTTTAATTCCAATATCTTTAGGGGTAGTTAAGTTGGTCTATAAAAGGAAACTTTAGTTTTTTTTCCAAGGTAAGCCAAGATGATATGAAAGTATTTATCTAGGAAGAGAGCTGAATTATCACTATTTTAAGTAGAGGAATAGAAGGTGTTATGTTTCGTGTTAAATAAGTTTGCAGTGAATGAATTACTTGGAAAGTTCTTTGGAATACTGCTGATAAAAGAAAGAAACAAAGAATAATGGCAGGGTCAAGGAATTTGCCTTAATCACTTTTTAAACCACACCTACTTTCGTCACTGCCTGAGTGCACGCACTGATTATAATGCTATGTATTTACTCTAGCTATAAGAATAAATACCGAGAAGATATTTATTTATAAGAATAAGTACCCGTAGTTTTTCTGGAAAAGGCCTTTTGAAGTCAATCACCTTGGATATCAGAAAAGGTCTTCCACTATAAACAAGGTCCATTTCTGGTATGAGAGCTTGTGAACTTTGTAAATTTTTCGAAACTCAGGTTCACATTGTTCACGGCAGTGCATTTTCCCAATTACTCTGCACACTGGGATATCAGAGTTATTGTTAAACAGATCATTAAAAATGACAGATCAGGTCCTCACACCTGAGTAAGTAGGTCCTGAGTGTAAATTAGGCGCTTTGGGATATACACACTCTCTTTTGGACCACTCTCTTTTGCAGCACAGGTAATTTATTAACCTTGGTCAAAATTTGTGCTGGTGGCTAAAACTACTGAAGAGTTTGGCACTACTGATAGAGTGTTCTTAGTATCTATTTTCAGAACTCCACTTTTCCAATTTGGGACTAGCCAGCTTAAATGTACACTTGTATTTAAGCTTTATTTCCATGCATATACTTTAGAGAAAATGCTTCACATAGAGTAAAGAAAAGCAATGGTAAGAAAATTCATATGGAAAATACCCTATTTGCCCCTTAAAAAACACCAAACACTGTTTTTCACTCAAGTTTTTTTAAATAGAAAATGTCTGTTTAAAACCTTCTTGAGCACTGTCAGCCTTAATACCCTTAAAGTTTTAGAAATCAGGAAATATTTTTGAGTGGTACTGTGTATAAGACATTGGGTTGCTGAACTCATGCAAATCCTGTACTGTTGACTGATATAATTTCTTAGCTCTTGCGTTAATGAACTTGAATATAGAAAATATATAAGAGAATATAGCCAGGAAGTATCTTCTTTAGAAAGAGAATTTTGCTCTTCCCAAGGTCACTAAAGATGTTATCTAAAATAGTAACTTTGGGTAAATAGTGTTCATAAAATATTACACGTCTTGCAGGAACCAAACAGGACATCTACAAACAGGTAAAATCTGCTTTTACTTCAACACTGATTCAATTAGAAAGTAGCTTTGCAGTCTACACTTCAAACACATAAGCTGGTATATCTGGTTATCAGATTATAAACACAATGCCTGTATTATCAAAAAGTTCATCTTCTCCAAACATCTAATTCTTCTGTTAAAGAGATGCTTATGTAACACTGTGTTCTGAGTTAGATTTCAGACATAAGAAGTTAAAGCTCAAAATATTTCAGAGCTGGAAAATAATTTTAATAATTAAATAATTAATATAATTAATAAATAATTAAATAATTAAAGCCAAAGGCAGAAATAATGAAACTGACTAGGTTTAAGAGAGGTGCAGCATGGCACACAATCTATTCTTGTCTGTCTTTTATATTTGTACCATACTGCTTAATACATAAGAAAACAGATCTTTGGCAGATATGAAGAAAAGCAAGATTTTGAAACAAAATTTCTCCCTTAACTAAAGGTATTTTGGAAATAACCCCATGCATTCTCCACAAGGACTAGCAGCAATATTTTATGTTGGGGAAAATAAAGAACATTAGGTTTCTCTTTGAAGTGTCTGAAGTTGAGCGTAGGTAACTATTAAATTTATTTTAATACAAATGACAAAACTTCTTAACTATGTCCAAATCTTTTAGAACTGCAAAAGAGGCAAGAGTACCAACCAAGGCAAGATTCTTGAATTTTGGGCTATACTATGACAACATCCATGTTATATGCCACCTTATCTAGAAGGGAACTTATTTTTTCACTTACTGCCTCTAAACTGTTTTCTTTTTTCACTTTAAATAAGGAGCAGGAAGGTGACTAAATAATTTTGTATCACATGAAATAGAGTCCCATGGATTTTTGTTTTGTTTTACAAAATTAACTTTTATCCTGCTTTACTTCTCTAATTCAAATACATTCTGATGAAGTAAACTCCTTTCAAACAATGTAAGCAGATATTCAATAACAGCAAGTTACATTACAGAGAACTTCTAATATACTGATACCTACTTAAAGAAAATCTAAATTTACAAATGGCAATGAGGTTAGGTTTTTGATTCAGTCCCCGAATATTCTCCAATTTACCTTCGTTTAAAGTAGTGGAAGAGATTTAAAATTGGAGATGGCCTATGCACTGATCATTACCTTAACTCTGCCTGGATAAATGTTTCCCCAGTGTCTGGCCAACATCAAGGAGTGTCTGTTGCATGCAAGCATGTTGCCCAGGGGTCAAGTCACAAACTTACACTAAGTTTCCTGGGATGACTCTGGACTTGGGGTATTGACTTTCCCGTGTTATGAGGCTGTAGGCAATAATAATTTGTCTTTGACGAAGAGTAAAGAATACTATCAGAACTACTTTTAAAAAATGTAGAAGAAATAGCTGCCTTCAAGGAAACGGAGTTAGGATACACCACCCCATGCCCATATTGCAAAGTATTTTGGAAAGAGGCATCCAAATTTGGAAAGAAGCATCTAAATTCTCAGCTGACATTCCAGAGAGTTGCTTCTTCCATTCCTATCCATCTATTTTACGGAATGCTTTCCTTTTTACCTAACAGGTAGGAAATACTGGGGCTTGAGATAAGTAATATATTTTCTTGTAACCAAAACTCTCCCCCTGTAACTGTTTCTCTGAAAGAAGTAATATACGATAATGGAAAAATGTGGTTAATTTTACAAAAATGTGTTTACATGCAACTTTTCAGGAAAATAGCTCTTTTGTTAAGGCAAGGAACATCTGTATTTACAACACAGATCTGAAACACCTACGTGTTTTTCTATATAACAGAGCATGTTTGTCTTGGCTGAAACAATGTTTTATCTTTGTATTTGAGTAGGAATTTATAAATAGGTCATTCTTGATATTCTAGCCAGAAGGACATTTAGGCATTAGTTTTGTTTTAGGGAAAACAGTGATGTATAACAGCATAAAATATCATTCTAGTCTTTCCACATTTGAAAATGCACACATTACCATCTGAAGTCTTCTTTAATTCAGTCTTCAATTTTTCCTGGTCTTCTACTAGTTTTTTATTTTCTGCTTCCAACATGTGTTGCTCTCCCTTGCCATAGGTTTTCAATAGCTATCACAAAAGAGAGTTACAGGAAGAAGTAAGCTTAAAATGCAATAGCCAGACATCCTTATAGGAAATGAGCTAAGTAACCTATTTAAAATTATTGGTCTTTATTTTACTCTTTGTCTTTTTCAGTATGTTATAATTTTCTACAATGTACTTTTGTGATCAGAAGCTTGATATCTGGCACACACACACACACAAGATTTAGCCTTATTATGGCTGAAATCTCTTCAAAGAAAATAACAAGTTTCTGGCTGGGCTACAATTAAAATGATATCTGCTAAAGTATTTAGGTAAATAATGTGAATCTCTTTTCCTAAATTGTGTGATGTAAATCTAAGGGGAAAAAAAGCTGTCCTGAGGATGATACTAATTGGAATATCATTTTGTTCCAACTGCTGTGCTGTCTACTCAGACTATTTTAATATAGACAAGGTCACCAGAGAAAAATTTAATATCATCAGGGTGGAGATGGCTAAGTGGAAAATGACAGAGCCATCTTTATGCTTGGAAAATTTTATCTAATTTTCATTGAACTGTCTCCAAATTTCTTTTATTCAGTTAATCCTTTACAATATTCCTTCTGTTTTAAAATATACTTTGGTTTTAAACATGGTTATTTTATGTTTGTAGTATATCTTTTCTAGGCAAGAAAAATTAAAATCTGAATAGTAAAACAAAATAAAAACATTATGGAGTCAAAATTTCATAATCTGTATGTCTGGAAGGAAACCATCATTGCTAATAGAATTAAGAAGCTAGCCTATTATCTTTTAAGAAATTTGATAAAGGATTTTCAGTTACCAAGAAAGATAAATTAGAGTAATGTTTGAAAAATAAAATATGTACACACTGGCACAGGTCAACTGACTAAATAAAGTGGCAGCAACTTGATATTGAGAGTTTCTATAGTTCAGGTAAAAAAGCAACTCAGAAAAATTTTAAACAGACTGACATAAGAGAAAAACTTCTACTGTAGGGGGATTCCTTTTTCTAATGTAAGCTAGTATATTCGACAACCAAAACCTACAAAGTTCTACTGAGAACTAACTACATGCCAGGTGCTATATGCAAGGTGCTATAATGGATAAAAATAAAAGATAAACATGGTCTCTGCTCTTAGGTAACTTTAATCTAGTGGAAACAATAAGACAAGAGCATAAAAACTGTGGCACAAGATCCAATCTAGTACTATAGTGCTATAACAGAGGTTAGGCAACTCAGGAAGGATTTAGGTTTTAATGAATATATTATATAATCCCAGGAAATTTTTTATGAGATAGGAAGAACGAAGTACCGACTCAATTGAAGGAGTCTGACACTTTCCCAAATTGAAAACAAAAAAAGTTTTTTAAAGAGCAGGAACAAGAAAACATTCTTCCTTAAATCTCTTTAAATTTATTGCCCACTCTAGTTGTTACTTCATTGAATTCAGTTCAAAGAGTCTCTAATAATTACCCAAAGTGGAACCACTGAGTCGCAGGAATGTTTACACTGACTGCTTGAATTATTATGCCATTGACTTGGAAAAGTTGGATTTGTGTTGGTTTTGTAATAGGCTTTCATGACTGCACCTGTAAACTTGTCTAAATTTATTATGTGTAACTTGATGCTGGAGAAAGACCAAGAGTCCTCAAATCTGAAATTCAATAGCTACCAGTTATAATAATTCAAATGTTCACTGCTCCACCCATCGTATCCCACAAAAAAAAAAAAAAAAAAATTAAGGAGAATAAATGTAGTTAACAAAAGGGTTAAAAAAAAAAAAAAAAAAAACTGTGTATTGCCTGGGGTCTTAAAAGCTTGCGAAGTGGCCATTCAAGGCACAACAATTGGTCTCTATTCACCTGGAGCAACAGAGGAAGAAAGGCAGTCAGGAATAGGAGAATATGGAATGTGTGGCTGACTGCCTCTGTGAACAACTGCCTCCTTTGCCATGAAAACAAGAACTGGAAGGTGCTTGACTACTATTACAGAACATTTTGTTCAAAGATTCCACAGAATAATCTTGATGAAAAGGGGGAAAATGCAGAACAGAATTTCAAACTCTCATGGACTACAGACTTCCTAGAGCCATGGAGGGTAGAAGAATTCCTGAAACTTTGGCCCTGAGATAATATTTAAACCTTAAACCAAAAATATTCTCTGAAGTCTTCTTAAAACCAAACAATAGTTTAGCTTAAGTAGTAAAAAAGGTCTGCCTTAAGCATTATGCTTTTTTAAGAACTATCTATATGGGCTCAAACTGACAGCAGCAACTTGAAAGATTAGATAAGAACCTTAGGGGACACCAAGTTTATGTTAATGAGGGAGGAACAACTCAGAAAAGCAGGGTGAGAATGGTTGCACAACTTGAAGTATGTAATCAATGTCACTAAATTATACGTGTAGAAACTGTTAGGAAAAAAAAAAAAAGAGAGAGAATGTTGACAGATTATGAGAAATATAACTAATGACACCAGTTTGTGTGGAAATTGTCAAATGGGACCCTAACTTATGCAAACTTTCACCAAAAACTCAATAAAATAGTTTTAAAAAAATCAATGAGAGGTAAAGCCACTTTACCCTTGTTATTTTAAGTAGTTAAATTAAAAGTTGATAGGTAATTATAAACACGTATGCACCAAACAATATAGTCCCAAATATATGAAGCAAACATTGACAGAATTGAAGGGAGAAATATAGTTGTATAATAACAGCAGGGGATTTCAATATCCTACTTTCAATAATGGATAGAACATCTAGACAGAAGACCAATAAGGAAATAGAAGATTTAAACAATATTACAAACCAATTACACCTAACAGACATATACAGAACACTCCATCAAACAACAGCAGAATACACATTCTTCTCAGCATATGGAACCATCTCCATGATAGGCTGTATGTTAGGGCACAAAACAAGTCTCAATAAATTTAAAAAGATAGAAATTATACAAAATATCTTCTCTGACACAATGGAATGAAGCTAGAAATCAGAAACAAAAGGAAAACAGGAAAATTCTCAAATATGTGGAAATTAAACAACACACCTTTAAACAAACAATCAGTCAAAGAAGACATCACAAGAGAAAATTCAGCAAAGTTGCGGGTTATAAGATCAATACAAAAAATCAGCTGTGTTTCTATATACTACCAATGACCAATCCGAAAAGGAAATTAAGAAAACCATTCCATTTGCAATAGTATCCAAAAGAATAAAATACCTAGGAATTAATTTAACAAGGGAGGTGAAAGACTTGTAAGTGCAAACTACAAAACATTGCTGAAAGAAATTAAAGACCCAGTTATCGTATTTTAATGCAAATAATGCACGTCTTCTATGTTTGTTTGCCAACCGCTCCTTTGCCCTGTAAGGTATTTCTGTAAGCACACTATGCTAATTTTTTTACATGTTGCTGCAAAATAATTAGCATAGCATGCTTACGAAAACGTAAAAAATCAGCACAGCGCACTTACAAAAATACCTCATGGGAGGAGGGAGTGGTTGGAAACAAACAGATGTGCGCGCTATTTGCGTAAAATATTGTAAATGGAAAGACATCCTATGTTCATGGACTGGAAGACTTAATATTGTTAAAATGGTCAATACTATCCAGAGTGATGGACAGATTCAACATAAACCCTATCAAAATTCTAACAACCTTTTTCCATAGAAATGGAAAAGCCAATTCTCAAATTTATATGGAATTGCAACGGGCCCAGAAGAGCCAAAACAACCTTGAAAAAGAAGAACAAAGTTGGAAGACTCACACTTCCTAATTTCAAAAGATACTATAAAGCCTCAGTAATTAAAACAGTCTAGTAGTGATATTACAATAATAGAAACATAGATCAATGGAATAGAATTTAGAGTCCAGAAATAAACCCATACATTTATGGCTAATTAATTTTCAACAAGGTTGTCAACTCCATTCAATGGGGAAAGAATAGTCTCTTCAATAAATGGTGCTGGGAGAACTGGATTTCTACTTGCAAAAAGAATGAAGTCAGATTTGTACCTTACACTGTATATAAAAATTAACTCAAAATGGAACAACCAAAATATAACAGCAAAAACCATAAAACTCTTAGAAGAAAACATAGGGGTATATCTTCATGACCTTGGATTTGACAATGAATTCTTAGATATGACAGCAAAAACGTGAACAACAAAAGAAAAAACTAAACTGGACTTCATCAAAATTAAAAACTTTTAACTAAGAGAACATTATCAAGAAAGTGAAATGACAATCTACAGAACTGGAGAAAATATCTGTAGATCATAGAAATGATAAAGGTCTAGTATCCAGAATATATAAAGAACTCTTACAACTTCAACAACAAAAATACAAATAATCCAATTTAAAAATGGGCTAAGGACTTGAATAGACATTTCTCCTAAGAAGATACACACAAATGGCCAACATGCACATGAAAAGATGCTCATCGACATTAGTCATTAAGGAAATGCAAATCAAAACCATAACGAGACACCACTTCACTTTCATTAGGCTTGTTATTAGAAAATAAATGGAAAATAATAAGTGTTGGTAAGAATGTAGAGAAATTGGAACCCTCGACCATGCTCGAGGCAAAGTAAAATGGTATGGGTGTTTCTGAAAAGTTAATTACCATATAACCCAATAATTACCATAACTATAGAATTACCATATAACCCAATAATTTTACTCCTGGGTATACCCAAAAGAACTGAAAGCAGGGATTCAAACAGATAGTTGTACAGTAATGTTCACTGTAGCATTATTCACAATTGCTGAAAGATAGAAACAACCCAAGTGTCCCTCAAAAGTTGAATGGACAAATATGTCATATATATGTACAATGGAATATTATTCAGCCATAAAGAAATGAAGTTCTGATATATGCTACGACATGGATAAATCTTCAAAACATTATGCTGAGTGAAATAAGTCAGACACAAAAGGAAAAATATTGTATGATCCCACTTACCTAAAATATCTAGAACAGGCAAATGCATATTAGTAGTTTATTAGTGGTTACTGTGGGTGGGAGGTAGAAATGGGGACGTATTACTTAAGGGGTATTGAATTTCTGTTAAGAGTGATGAAACAATTTGGAAACAGGCAGTGGTGATGGTTGCACAACATGGTGAATGTAATTAATGTCACTGAATTATACATGTAAAAATGGTTGAAATGGCAAATGTTTTCTTACATGTATTTTACCACAATTTAAAAAAAAGGAATGAAGTACTGATACATGCTACAATATGGATGAACCCTGAAAAAATTAAGCTAAGTGAAAATAAGCCAGGCATCAAGGTCACATATCATATGATACCATTCATATGAAATATGCAGAATAGATTAAATCCATAAAAAATGAAAGCAGACTGGTGGTTGCCAGAGGGCGGAAGGGGTAGTTGGGAGTAAATGTTTAATGGGTATTTACAGTTGCTCATTTATTTACTTCTGTTGCTCATGTTTAATGGGGTTTCCTTTTCGGGTAATGAAATGTTTTGGACAAAATAGAGGTAGTAGTTATACAGTATTATGAATGTGCTAAATGCTGTTTAATTGTTCACTTTAAGATGGTTAATTTTATGTTATATGAATTTAACCTCAATAAAAAAAGTTAACTGGTCTTTCATAATTATTTCATTTCACTAACTGAATATCAGAGATGAAAAGGGCCTTAAGTACCACCTGGAAACCACTTAATAGTATAATACAGGAGTGAACCCCCACCCATCTGTCAGTTTGTCATACTGTGGTGGCTTGTGTTTTGCTGCAATGCTGGAAGTTATGCTACCAGTATTTCAAACACAAGCAGGGTTACCCATAGTAGACAGGTTTCAGCAGAGCTTTTGGACTAAAACAGAGTAGGAAGAAAGGCCTGGTGATCTACTTCCTAAAATTAGCCAACGAAAACCTTATGGATCACAACAGAACATTGTCTGACTTGCTTGCTTTGGACATGTCATCATGAGGGATCAATGACTAGAGGAAGACATCATGGTTGATGAAGTAGAGAGTCAAGGGTGAGGGAGACCCCAGTGAGATGGACTGGCACAATATCTATAATGACGGACTTGAACATGCCAGCAATCTTGAGGATGATGTGGGACTGGGCAACATTTCATTCTGTTGTACATGAGGTCGCCACGAGTTGGCGTCACCTCGATGGCATCCATCCATCCACCTGTCCACCCACTTACCTACATATCTATTGGAACGAAGGTTACAAAGCAACATGGTTAAGAGTATGTATGCCAGAGTAAGGCTGCTTGGGTTCAAATCTTAGCTCTGTCACTTATTAGCTGAATGATTTCGTGTGTATCACTTAACCTCTCTGTGCTTCATGTGTAAAATGAAGATAATAACATTATCTACTTCATGGGGTTGCTGTGAGATTTAAGAGTTAATATCTTAGTATAAAAAAGGAGTCCTGGTGGTACAATAGTTAAGCGCTCAGCTGCTAACTGAAAGGTTGGCAGTCTGAACCCACTCAATGGCTCTGTGGGTGAAAGACTTGGTTATCTGCTTCTGTAAAGATTACGGGCTAGAAAACCCTGTGAGGCAGCTCTACTCTGTCACATGGGGTCACTATGAGTTGAAAATCGACTTCACAGCACCTAACAACACCACTACCACCTTACTATAAAGCATTCAGAGCCATACCTGGCACACAGTGTTAGCTATTATCAACAGCTATGGAACCTTGAGGCCTAGACTGTATGAGGTGACTTGCTTCAGATCATATTGCTAATTACTGGTAGGATAATTAGTCTCTTGCACCTCAGGATAATGCTTTTTCCACTAGATGACGTGTGTCTGATAGAGAATGGAGGGGGCATTTTAGCAGTTTTACCCTTCTTTGGCTAATATTTCAAAACCTAAACTGAAGTATCTTTGATATTCAATGAAATAGAAGTCATCTTTGATATTCTCCTATATGACCCTTGGTTACACTGTGGGCACTGACAGCACTTACGTCGAGCCCAGACTCTCTCCCCACTACGTACTGGCTCTAGCCCAGCATATTCTGTGCCCCTCTCTGATGATACTGGACCACTGGCTGGGTCTTTGCTACACAGTGAGCAAGAAGGACATGGAACAAAAGGGGGAAGAAAATAAGCAAACAAAAAATGAAAATTGTGGGGGGAATCAAGGAATTAGTAGTAATGAAATAACATTCCTTTCAAAGGCAATAAACTCTCTCTGAAAACAATTCCAGAAGAAAAGTTCCAAAAATGTTTTTAGGAAGGTAATTACTTCAAAGGACAAGACTAACTTAAGTGTATTAGTTATGGTGTATATTGAAAACATGGTGTATACTGTAAAACTTTACAAAAACACTTTCTGTTAAATTCTTACAGCTGAGTGCTTGCTTTGGCAGCACATATGCTAAAATTCAGTGATACAGAGAAGATAAGCATGGCTCCTGTGCCTAGGATGACACACAAATTCATGAAGCATTTCATATTTTTCAATTTAAAAAAAAACAGGCTAGAAAAAAAATTCTTAGAGCTGAAAAATAAGAGGAAAAGAGTTGGAGAATAAGAAGAAAGAAGCAATGTTCTAGTAAGAGTTACAACTTGATTAAGATGATGGTATAATTCTAAACTGAGATAGGTACACAATATGCCTTTCTACAAATACAAGGCTATGTGCTTTTGAATTTAACCATCATATATTAGCTGAAGCTTTGAGGGTTTTGTTTTTTTGTTTCTACCACTATGAAATGAGATCAAAGGATAGCAAATGAAGCGAATAACGTTAAGGTACAACATGAAGCTGATAGTGCTCATGAAACACTCTAAAAAAAGCAAAAAGGACTTTTTGCTTGTTTTTAAACCAGAAATACCAAAAGCATGATTTTTAAGACTCATATTTACTACGTAGGGAAATTCATAAGACATCTACAGATCAATTCCTTTTCAAAACAAGACAAAACAAAAAATAAACTGGTGCTTATTTTCTAAAAGTTTCCTTAAAATACGCCTGCTATAATCGACCCAAAGAAACACTTAGGACTTCTGTGTCTATGATAAAGATCTTTCTTTACCCTTATCTTTGTTGTAGTAGAAATAAGGCAGACATCATAAGTTAAAACATGATCTTTGAGTAGGTGACCATGATAACGTCCCATCAAACTAAATTTTTACGATCAATGCTGCCTTATACTACACTATGCAATAGTTAAATCAAGGAGCCCTGGTGGTGTAATGGTTAAGCACTCAGCTGCTAACTGAAAGGCTGGCTGTTGGAACTTACCCAGCCGCTCTACGGGAGACAGACCAGGTGATACACTTCTATAAAGATTATAGCCTAAGAAATCTTATGAGGCAGTTATACTCTGTCACATGGGGTCTCTATGAGTTGAAAATCAACTCAGGAGCACCTAACAACAACAGCTAAGTCATTTTTGGGATTGATGAAAGCTGGTGCTTATAGTTCTTTTTATATGATGCTGGACTTTAGGGCTCAGATACATATTTTAACTCTCTACTGTAGAACTCAATACTTTTTACATTGACAATCTGGTGTATCATATAACGACCGCTTGCATTTCTTTAACTTATAACAGGCAAATAACCTTACTGCATTATTTTTGGAAAGCTTTCTTTAAAAAAGTGTGTTTCACTTCTGATTGGTTCCATTGATTCCTTTTTCTAAAAAACAGAATTAAGAAAACTTATGGGGCTTAATATGATTGAAAATACTCAAGCTATGAGATATGACTCCTAAATTTTAAACTTAAGGGGAAAAAAAAAAACTCAAAGTAATTTTGTCTCTTTTGTTTTTGCATTAATTCTTTTACTTATTCAACGGGGAAAATATCACTACCTGATCCACAATCTCCCTGAACGGAAGGAGAAAGACAGACTAGGCTTCTCAAGGACTATCAGCAATACCAAATTAAAGATTTTTAATATTATGTGCAATCACTAATCTACCATCAACCACCTTCCTCTGCTTGCTATACTGGGTTTAAAAGAATAATACAACTGAAAAGGAAATGAAAACATAAGTTTTTGTAAAGACTTGCTTTAGGTAAAATTAATGGTAACAAAAGAATTGAAATTCTTATTTCCAAAATACTGTTTTCTTCTCAAATCATACGAAGTAGGCCCAAATGGCATTAATCTATTATAAAAGGAAATTGTGAGAACAAACAAATCTATAAGATAATAAAATACTTGCGAAACAATCATTCCACAGAACAACATTGCTATTTATGGTCATTTTCCGCCTATACTTAAGGAGTGAGAAAATGTTCTTTTTGATGCTAAAAAATAATATACCCACCCCTTGGAAACACCAACAACATTCACCCAAATTTTAAAAAGAAATATAAAATACCCGTTTTAGTTTTTCATTCTCTTCCATGAGTTTTCTAGCAGCCACACTAGTATTTTCCATTTGAGTTTTAAGCGCTCCTCTGGTTGACAGTTCTTTTGCCAGTTGAGTAATGAGGGTAACCAGACGTCTCAACACTCTAAGGGGAAAAAAAAAAAAAAAAAAAAAGCAGAGTAAGGTATAACTAGACTAATCATCTGAAACCGTGATTTTAAAACAGTAATTTTCCAAGGATTCCCCTTTAGGGAAGGGTGTGGTTTTTAAGAGAACATCTGCTTTAAAAAAAAAATTTTTTTTTTAATCTAAGTCTCCCAGTCAAAACAAGGCTGTGTCTCATTCCTTTGGAATCTTTGTTAAAAGACTAGCATTTGAAATATAGGTTCAGTACTACTTATTAACTATTTTCCTTGTAGAGGCTTATAAGGCTTGGGCCCAGAGGAGAATTTAAGGAACATTTAAGAGGGTGTGGCAAGGCCAGAAAGACCCTTTTTTTTTTTTAAAATCAGCTCAAAATTTGCTATTTAAAGAGTATTCCATAAGGCAGCCAAGCCCCAAAGCTGCCACTCACATACAATTTTGGGGGAACTTTCATTTTTAGAAATGTTACTATTTTCAATTATTTGTTCAACAAATATTTACTGAGGAACTGTTAAGTACTGTGCTAGATACTGGGGACCGAGTGGAAGACAAACTCTCTGTCCTCGAGGAGTTTAGATTCTAGTTTGGAGGTGAGAGTTAAAACAACATTTAACTACAACTGTGAATAATACCAGAAAGAAAATATATACATTCTATGGGGGCATACAACAGAAGACCTACATCACAGGTGTCTTAGTCAGGGTTTGTTATGACAGCACTAAGAAACTAATAAGTATTATGGATTGAATTGTGTCCCCGCGAAATAGGTGTTGTAAATCCTAACCCCTATATCTGCGGTTATAATCCCATTTGGGAATGAGTTGTCTTTATTAGTTAATGAGACAGGATTAGTGTAGTCTTAAATCAATCTCTTTTGAGATATAAAAGGGATTAAACAAGCAAGTGAAAGAAGGAGATGGGGGAAGAGAGACGTCAAGCCACATGAAGACTGCCCAGGAACAGAAGCTCAAAGAGAGGAGGGCCTTCCTCTAGAGCCAACAAAGACAAGAGAGAAAGCCTTCCCCTAAAGTCAGCACCCTGAATTCAGACTTCTAGCCTCCTAAACGGTGAGAAAATAAACTTCTGTGTTAAAGCTACCCATTTGTGGTATTTCTGTTATAGTAGCACTAGATAACTAAGACAACAGACTTCCCTGAGAAAGGGGTGGCAGAGTAAGTAGGAGTTAGATAGGTAAAGAAGGAAAGGAATAGTGTCTGGTAGAAGGATCTTCATGTGTGAAGATCTGGAAGTGGAAAGGAGCTAGGTACACAGTAGGAACTCAACTTAAGTATTTGCTGCAAGGATAAATGAAGACTGAAGGTCTGTGTCGGTAAGATGTAGTGCACATGGGGAAGAATAGTTTGAGATAAGGCTCAAGAGAGAGGCAGGGACCAGATCATGCAGGTGTTACCCACCTATCAAACTTACAAGCAGTAACTATTGTTTATTATTTGGGTATATCATTCAAGTTATTTTATGAAAATACTGAAATACTAAATACTACAGAAAAAACAACTACAGATTAGGTAAAAAAAAAAAAAAAAGAGAGAGACAGAGAAACAGAAAATCTGTTTTCAAATTGTCTTCTACATTTTTTTTTTACTTACAGCCAAAAAAATAATGAAAATCCAGAAATGTAAAGATTTCTTTGAGACCTAAAAAGTTTCATCTGTGTATGCTCATAGGCACTAGGGCTACGGACTGAGCTTTTCTCAATGGCATGAGCATAGGAATATTTTCTTATTTCTCTCACAGCATCTATTAGAAAAAAAAAGAGAAAACATTACTTTCGGTTTTTTTTTTTTTTATGTTTCTTTTTTTATTATTGTA